GATTTTTTAAACCCAGATCTGGAAATGTTGATGATGAGGTTGAATATACCGTATAAGAAGAAGAAAAGGTAGGAGATTATTTGTTATCTGGTATAGAATATCAACAAAAAACTAATAGGATTAACAGGAAACAAAGGTTTTCATTAATGAATCATACTATTCATAATATTTAGTGACATTTGAATTACATCGCTTGGTAATATTTCCCTGCAACATTAGAGCACCTAATCTTACATATACTACTACAAATAACGCTTGTAATGTCGGATGCGAAATATTTTTTACCTCAGCTACCTAGGCGAGGTAATTAAGGTCGCCATGAAAAGTCTCCACTTTACACCTAGGTGTTTTAAATACCGAGGTTATAAATTGAAAAGGTCATGGGTTCGATCCCTCAGAACTGCATATTTTTATTTTTTACATTTTGTTGTGCACACCATATAGTTGTCAGTTTTATTTATAATCTGAGGTAATAAGGTGTTCATTTACCTCGATTTTATGTAATAACCTAGGGGTTTAAAATGAAGTTTTTTGGATATATTTATCAATTTCACTGGCCTGTATCATTTTTTGCATGTATCATTTTCACTGGCCTGTATCATATCATTATAATAAATCTATTAAACCACAAAATATGTAACATAATTGGAATATATATATATATACATATATATATATATATATATATATATATATATATATATATATATATATATATATATATATATATATATATATATATATATATATATATATATATATATATATATATATATATATATATATATATATATATATATATATATATATATATATATATATATATATATATATATATATATATATATATATATATATATATATATATATATATATATATATATATATATATATATATATATATATATATATATATATATATATATATATATATATATATATATATATATATCATTTTAAACCAAATGTACAAATTTACATCAAGACATAATACACTTGCCCAACGTGCAAATTTTCATATCAGCACATAAAAATGACAAAACCTATGTTCATATACAAAATAAGATTATAGCAACCAATAAAAAATATTGTTGTGGTTTTCGAGCTTTATAACGAGATAAGAAGACACTGATCCAACGTGATCGAATGTCATCAATATCTTCTATTGAGTATGGTGTTTTGATGCTAAGCTACTACAATTAGAACAAAATTTAAACTATAATAAGTTAAAAACAACAACATTAGTTTAAGAAGTATATATATATATATATATATATATATATATATATATATATATATATATATATATATATATATATATATATATATATATATATATATATATATATATATATATATATATATATATATATATACCTTATTCTTCATCCATCCATGTGTAATGCCTCCAGAGACAATATGGAGCATATATCTCATAACATAATATCCACAAGAATGGTCGTCGTCGGTTTGTTTTCGCCACTACAAATAATTTTCATATATTAATGTCACACTAATACACACAAATAATATAATGTCAAAAAACACAATTAATATACTTACTTTTGGGTAAATATGGACTGGCTTTTTACCCATAAGATTTTTTTTGCACGCATTAAATTCCTCCACCTCTCTATACATGTCGGTTAAAATTAAACATGAATAAAAACTATTCAATTATAAAGTGAAATTTGAGTATAAGAAATAATACCACTTATCCACTCAAATCGTTAACCACATCGTCGGGCAGTTTCGAGTGCATCGAGCAAAATATAATTATATTATTTCTCCGGGGACATATAATAAGTAGTTGCCAATGTCCCCAGCATAAACATTCATAATAATTAATAATATGGATAAAATTAATTTATAAATGAAAACACAAATTAATATATACTTACTCGCGGTAAAACGGGGAATTATAAAAATCTTTGATTCTCCCTTTCTCCATCAACTTCTCTTGTGAGTAATTTTGGATTTTGTGTCCTGGAGAATCGCGAGTAAGAGAAATCCTCGCAACATCTAAGATACAATACTTGTTTAGAATCTTCATTTCAACACATACCACATGGATGTAACTGCAAGGTCAAATCTTTATTTAAAGTACAAGAAGGTATGAATATAAATAGAAATCAACATAAAACTATACTTACGAGCTCCAAATTTGCAATATGGAATTGTCTAGTTCCTCATCTCCCTTCAAAAATTCATGTATAGCATTCTTGTTAAGAAAGAACGACTATTGTGGATCATGACTTAATTTAATACCCATAATTATGGTTTCAATATTCGGCATCATCAGTTCTAGTCTCTAAAGGCTGTCTTAATTTGGTAGTGGTGACGGTTCAACACTACCCTGGTTGGTAGAAAAACTATGTGTCGCGTTTGTACCACCCATAACTTTCTTAACTAAATTCTCTCAAATTTCTAACTGATTTGAATTTGTGTGGCTGAATATACCCAACAAACTCAATTTTTGCATCATAAAAACAACATAAATACAATACAAAATTGAAATACGCCAACAATAATAACAACAACATACAACTTATACCTCAAGAACATCACAGATACACTTCTCAGACACCTTCTCCTCATTCATCATCGCTCTCTCCTTTTGTTCCTTATGTATACTCTCCTGCACAATATGCAATAACTTCTCCCTCTCATCCTCAAAGAACTTCTCCTGCACCGTCTGTAACAACCTCTCCCTCTCCACCTCCAAGAACTTTTCCTGCACCGTCTATAACTGGCTCTCTCTCTCATCCTCCAAGAATTTCTCCTGCACGTATGCAACCAGATCTACCTCTCCTCCTCCAAGAACCTATCCTTCTCCTTATTCCACTTGTCCCTGGCCTTCCCCAACTCAACAATAACAATCTCTCCAACCTCTCTATTACTTATTTTCTCTCTAGATGATGTAGTGCGTCCAAAATATACATGGAAGTAAACGGCTCTACCAAGACCACAGACACGCCCATGATTCTCTTCAGCTCCAATCGCTTCTACCAAGATGTCATGACGACCTTGTGAAGTGAAGAGGTTGGCCTTGGTTTGTTCAACAAGATCCTCTAACAAAACATAAAATTTCATCTTTACCAAATTGATTTAATTAAAATAAATAGTGTTGAAAAAAGTATATACTTACAATCCTTTGATGTGTACTCGCTGTCTTTTCTTTGGGGTGCCCTTTTCCATTTTTCGTGGCCTGATGATGGAGATGGAATGCGATCAAGACTTATAGAATCTCCCAGCTCTTTCTCCCTTTGTTTTCTTTTTTTCGTTCATCAAATTTTTTTCCAAGTCTTTTATATCCTCCACGAGACAACCTATGTAGATAGATATTTCTAGCTCAATTTTCTTTTCCTTTTTGGCTCTTTTCCATGAAAGTAGGAGTGGTGCGAGACTCTACAAATTTCTTCCAAGTAGCTTGATCAATAAATGAATACACCTGATATGGAGCCAGTTATTTATCTTCTCCATGTTTAGTATAATAATGAGTGAGTTGTATCTTAAACCCCCTCTAGCGCTCACCACTATATGCAAGCATTTTATTTTTCAGGTACTGATCATTTGGAGTAACAATGAACACATCATATGCTTACACAATAGAGATGTTATTAATATTAAATAAAATATATACTTGTAAAACAAATGATAGAATACAAAATAAATATTGTGATATCGATCCATATGTAGTCTTTCAATTCATCATCAATATCATACAAACTGTCTATCAAAATACTCACTTTACTTCTACCTTATAAAACAATGTAACCTAAAAAATCATCAGCATGTTCACCACAAGCTGTGTCAGTTTCTGCATCAACTCTAACCGGGTAGTGAATACCAGTTTCGTTGGATTTTTTCACCTTAGCAAACATCGTAGCACCTCTATTTTTTCTTTTACTTTTTGTAACAAAATTTGCAACAGATGTTGTATGGGAGGTGTTTGTCGAATCGGCCATGACTATCAAGATGAATCAAACAGTAACGTTTCAGTCAAAACAAACGAAGAAACCCTAAACAAAATGATCAATAGACAAACAAACAAAGAAATCCTAAATAAAATGATCAAGAGACTATTGTAGTGAAAAACTAACGTTGATGACTATCAAGATGAATCAAACCTTCAGTGAAGAATAAACTCGTTGCTATGATGAATATATGTTGGAAGAGTTTTGATGAATATCAGCTTGAAAATCGCATAGGGTTTTTTGCGAAATGAGAGTGACGAACTGACGTTTGAGTGTTGATAGGTAAATGAAAAGTTAGAAACTAGAAAGTAGTCTGAAGTATTTCATGCAAAATAAGTGTCATGTCGGTTTTACACAAAAATCTACGTGATTGTATTAATTAAAAATATAAAATATAAAAAACTTCATAGCGTCATATTTCAGGAATTCATTTAAAAGATATAACACGTCAGTTTTTGTAGAAAATCGTGGGATTAAAATATATCAAATAAAGTATTAAAATAAGATTTTGAAAATGGTATTATGAAATTGTTAATGTAAAATATATTAGCTCTCAGTTGGACCCTGTAGCGGAGGTAAATACTAATGGAATAAATAAAAAAATAAAAATGGAATTTGAAAAGGCACCAATTGAGAAATACTAATTTAACAATGGAAAAAAACATAAAATACAACAATTGGGTGTCGAAGCGAGTTTCCTTATTACTACTTTCCTTCGATTTTATTAAATATCCGAAGTTTAATATTTTTTTATTAAAAAATAATAATAAAACATAGCGCTCTCAGGACCTATACCATCATTTTTTCATTATTCGAGATGTAAACTTCATTATAAAAAAAATATTATTTATAATAGTGATATCAACCCAACTAAATAGAACAAACAAACCCTAATATCTAAAGTCATCTATCTATATCTTTTTGGGAGATTTCTTAGCCTTTGATGGAGACTTGGGGGTACTAATAGTGTTTTTCTTTCTCTGGGGCAAAAGCACTAGGTTAATGTTTAGGAAGAATGCCTCCATGGGCAATGGTAACACCAGCCAGCAGTTTCTCTCTTCATCGCATACACACCAATTTTAATTAATTAATTTCTAAGAATTCTAAAAAAACATAGTCAAAAAATTATTTTTTTTTATAAAAATGATAATTAAAAATTATTATTATTTAATTGAATTTTTTTTTTAAATATAATAATTTTATTAACATTAGAAAATATTAAAAATATTAATTAATATTATTATTATTTTTAATCTAGACTTTAATGCCACATGTTAATTAATATAATTTTTTATTTTTTTATCTTAGTCATTAATTACACGTTGTCACATACGCAAATTTAGAGGAGAGCGACAAATCTCAAAAGAGATAAAATTTACGGATTAAAAAATTAATTTATAAAATTGAAGACTTAAAATTAAAAAAAATTAAAGTACAAAAATCAAAAATATATTTAAATCTAAATAGTGTATAATTCTTATTTAATCTGTAGTCGTATGAATCGACTAATATTTTAATATTTAATAAATTTGTAAAATTGGCTTGATTACAGTGGTATTCGAGAGTTCAATTCTTTCATGTTTGATTTTTTTCTAATTTGAATTTGAACTTAACTTATTTATCTTGAAAATGTTTTTATTTGATAAAATATATATATTTTTTAATAAGTGCAAATTATTAAATAAAAAATAAAAAGAACGAGGAATATAAAACCTAATTCATTAAATTGCTAGCAAAATCGATAATTGAACATTGTCTAACCTATCATTTAAAAAACATATAAACTGAATTTTACCAATAAAATATGTAAATATTTGTCTTATATTTATGCTTTTAAATGTTTCATTTTAGAGATATCACACTTCCTTTTTCTCGGGTTAATGTTATGTAACCTTTTTATTTTATTTTATTTTTCATCGGATTTTATTATTATTATTATTTTGACATTTTGTTCAAAATAAAAATAAATTTAAAGACATTTTATAATCGAGTATAATAACTATTAAAATATAAAATATAAAAATACAATATGATAATAGTTTATATTCACCTTCTTAAAATAAAAATTATAAGTTCACAATATTTTATTAAAAATAAAATAAAAAATACAAATAAAAAATAATATTAAATAAAATAAATTCAAAAATCAGTCAAAAGTTTTTTAAAAAAGAACTAATTATTCATAAATTTTAAAAAACATTAATTCATATAATATCTTATTTTGTCAATTATATTAATTATTAAAATATTAAATATGTTTTTAAATAAATAGATGTGGTAGTTCAACTGATATGATAAATAAGTATCATCAAAGTGATAAAATTGAAATAGTAAGAAATTGAATTTAGAAAACATAGTTTAAATTTCACCTTAAACGGTTGTAAGATCACCATAATTAAAATCATCACCACTAGAGATGATAATGAATATAATTTGAGCGAGGACACTAAATTTTGTATTCCTACCCATATTTTAAGGGTCTTTTTGAAAGTTGGTTTTCAGAGAATTTTTATAGGAAAAGTTTTGCAGGATTGCGTTTGTATTTTAAAGTGTGTTTGATTTTTTTTAAAGTTTAAATAATAATTTGATTTTATATGTTAATGTGATTTTTTTTAATCTTTTTAAAAATATTAAATGCATTTCAATATATAAAAGTAACTCTTCAAAATCTTCTCATCTAAGAGCATGATAATCGTTTGCTGCACTACCGTTCCTACACAATATTCAATGTCATGCTGTCAGAATAAATGGATAATTGATCCAAACTTGCGGTTCTACATTTGCAACCGTTGTCAAATATGAGAACGTTTCTACACTCCAACTAAGTGGGTCATGATAATAAATTAATAAATAAAATTATAAGAATATAGTTGATTTGTTTTAAGTGTGAGACTCATTTTAATTTTTTTGATGAGTTAGATGGATATTTGAGAATTGTAGATGAGTTGTTTAAAAAATTAAGAAATATGAAATAATATAAAAAATTATGTGAGTCCTATTTAAAGAACTCAAATGGATATGATGGATGTGGATGCTCTAAACTCTCTAAAAAATCAACTTTCAAACATATTCTAAGAATATCTAAATATTTATATTAGTCTTCCTTACATATACTTTTAGTAAAAATAAATTAATAAATTATAAAATATCATCATATTATTTTAAGCTTTAAACAATATCAAAAATATTCAAAGGTTTTATTATTTAATTATGAAATACAATTTTTTTATAAAAATAAATAATAGTTTAATTCTGATATCTTTTTATGTTTTATATAATAATATATTAAAATATACACATATTTATTATTTGAATATGAAACAGAATAAATATTAAAATATTTGATATTTGTACCGTCACCGATATCAATATCTATTTTGTGAGTTTTTAATTATACTTATTTATTATAGATTTTTTTCCCGGATATTTATTGAATATTGATATAATAATAATAATAATATTAATAATAATAATAATAATAATAATAATAATAATAATAATAATAATAATAATAATAATAATAATAATAATAATAATAATAATTTCTCCTTTTCTTTATTTTTTAAAATATGACAATCTCATGTCGGTGGATTTATAATCATTAAATGCTATTGAAGAATAATAATTTTCTTTTTCTTTTTAATGGTATAATAAAGAATATATTTTCATATTATAATCATATTTTTAAAAGTTTTCAAAATAAATAATAAATAAACAAAAGGAAGCCATCTCATTTTCCCTCCCTACAAGAAAAAAAATCCACCACCATCACGTTTTTTCAGCTGCCTCAAACATTATCTAGATGATTTGAGACTGGATATAAGATCTTTTCACCTACATATTTCATTTCAACAATTCATCATTTTTATTCCATCACAATTAACAGTAAACCAATTGCTGCACCACAACCAACATTGTAAGTATCATTTTCTCTTTCTATTGATTTTGTAATATACTTTAGTTAATCTTGAAATAATTGCGAATGAACTGAAACATATCTAACATTGATAAAGCCAAGAATTTTTTACGATCATTTATTGAAGAATCTTGAAACATATCTAAATCATGTTGCAGTTTTGGTTAATTTCAGAAGAAGCCCTAATTTGATGGATGATGATGAACATGGTTCACGCAAAAGGAGTAGAGGAGATCACCAACCTTCTAATCCTTTGGACAATCCTTCTCTTGCTCCTCCTCCTGATGAAACACACACTGATGAGGTCAACAACAATGGTGTCCGGGTACCTCTTCCCGCCCGTCGACAATTTCGTCGACTTGCTATGCTTGATGTTCCATCAAACCATCCAGATAATGCTATGATCACTCCACCAACAAGCTCTCAAATTTTGCATCCTGATGGAGTAGTCATGCCAGGGACATCTCTTAGCCATCAAAGGGTTCGTCTCTTTTTCAATGTCCAAGTTCATGTAATATTTTCTCATTATATTATAAAAAAATTATTATTATTATTATTATGAAAAAATAGATATATAAAAATAAAGCATCTTTTAATAATTGTCTCACCCTAAAATTTAGTGACTCTTTATGCTTTTTTATCAAAAGTTTACGTTTTTTATGAGTATACATTGACTTTATCAAGAAATTTTTTGATTCCTTATTAATTGAAGTTCATTTGTATAGAATGTTGCTTTGATGGACGAAATGGAAAATTCAGCGCATCAACAACGTAGACATGCGCGTTTGAATATTGATGACAATACTTCTGAGGTAAGTATAGAATTTAGTGACCATTTTTTTTGTTTTTTTTGTTTTTACACAAAATGTTTTTATGAATATACATTGATTTTGTTAGTTTTTAAGAGGATAATATAAATAAAATAAAATGAGTGTATTTTCATTAATCTTAATTTTTTTCTATGAATTTTTTTACTTTCTTTTTAATTTAACTTCATTTATATAGGAGGATGTTTTAAATGATGAAATGGAAAATCTAATTGACCAACATCAATCTTTAATCTCACTTATTGAAGAAATGTCTGAAGAGGTAAGTACAAATTTTGTGTTCTTTATGTGTTTTTCTTCAAACTTTTATATTAATGTAAATCGATTTTGTTCTTGTTAAAAATATAATACGCGACAATCTTTTGCGGTGTAAAGTTGTCAGAGGTTTTTAAGGTTATTGCGATGTTAGAAAAACTCATTTAGAAAAGGTGATAAGCTATGTATGCGGCGTTTTTCGTAAAGAGTTGAATATTCCTTTTAACCTCAGGATTGATGTATTTATAAGAATCATGTGGACATGTGTCTCGGATTCCAAGAAAATATATTTTGTACTTTCCATTCTCAGAAGTATGAAAAGAGGATAGTTATTTTCTCCATTTCTTTAGAAAACGTGGTTACTTTTATTTGACTCTCTCTTCCATACCATTGCAAATTTGGACATGTCACCTTCACGTTTTCACATAAAGCCGAATGATCTGAAAAATGGGCACCGTAACCAAATGACAAGCGATTTTTTAAATAAATGGCAAGCTAGGAAGTTGGTGTGACGACATGTTACGCCCCCCCTCTTATTGGACCTTCATGCCCTCTTTTGTGGATCCTTTACAAATATACTAATACATAGTCCCTCAAGCACGAGAGCTTGGAAAAGGAGAAGTGATTTAGTTTGCACTCATATTCTTATTTGGACGAGTTCCTTAATTATTCCTAGGGAATATCCCTTAAGCACGTGAAGAGCTCCTCAAGCATATGTGGCGAGTTTCTCAAGCATGGCCTGGATATATCTCCTGGTGTCAATGAGGTGAATCCTCATACGTCAGCTAAGGGAAATCCCTAAACGTTATTCAAGGTAAAACGCATGTGCGACATTAAATGCGATCAATGATGATTTAGTCTTGAGACCCAAATTGGCCTTTATCTCCCACAAGTGTCAGAAGCGTCCATAAGCTTTTGCGTCTTATCGTAAACTTAGATAGAGACCTTTGATCACCCCTGCAGCTAGCCTTTAAACCTCTATAAAAGAGGTTCAACCTTAACTTTTCCACTTTTTTTCATATTCTTGTTTTTAAAGTTCTTGAAAGTTTCCTAAGAGTCCCTCGAGAGTATCTTTTTCCTTATGTCTTCTCAATCACAAGTTCTCAGTTCCCCATGTACAGGTATAAGTCTTTTACCCTTTTCTTCTCTATTTTTCTGTTTATGGAGATAATTAGGGATTTAGACAATAGTGGCAACCTAGTAGCGCATTCAACTCACAATGAGCGTATAGCCACGTGGAATCACAATTATAGAAATTCTAAACGTATTGACATGACAATTGATTACAAATTATTGAGCTAGGAATATTCTGTAGTTCTAAGGGTTTCACTATATCAAATAGTGATGGTAGTAGTGGTAGCGATATTGAATCCTTTTTCTCTTCTATTTTCTCAAGAAATAAGAAGCTAATAGACGCCTTGGATCCCGAGCATAAAGAATATGAGGATTTCGAGACCTAATACATCAGTGAGGAAAGGATAGTCTCGTTTTGACAACATGTCAACATTTCCTCTTCAGGCATCGAGGAAGAAGTCATCTTGGAGGCGTGCTCCACGATAGAAAGAGAAAATATGAATGCTTTGGGCGATTTCCCCAGCCCCTATTTCTACCTTCACCTGCCAGTCGTTTGTGGCCTATGGGTTCTAGTTCCCTTTTTTCTGTTTGAGGCAGAGGTTGTAAAGGTGATTAATGTCGTCCCATCCCAGATCTCGTCCAATGGTTAGAGCTTGATTTAGTCATTTGGGATCATATGTTGGAGACTCGAGGTCCATCCTACCATACGAATTTTCTTCTCCTTCAATGGCACCAAGATGGGCGTTACAGGCAGTTGGGTGACCTTTGGCGCCTTTCCTAGAAGATCCATGTTCAAACCTTATTCCAATCATTACAAAATTTGGAAATACAAGTTCGCGAGAGTGAGAGGGCGATACAATACCTCAGAGGTCACCACTAGGACAAGTGGAGCCCATCGCTTTCCTCTAGCTAGGACAAATAATCTAGTGGCAATATTTTGGTATGAGTTCGACTACCTCACAACTGTGAGATGGAGGTACTTGAGCTTTTGGATTAATTTGAGGTCATGAGTTCTCATACCGTGATGATCTTGGACTATGGGGATGATAGTGACATGAACAAATATATAAGCAAGTTTGATACCATAATGGACCTTATTTGGGATTTTGTAATGATAAGGTTGCTCATATTTGTCCTACATTTTTTGCTGGTAAAATATAAAAATTCCTTTGGCCTAAAGGAGGGAGCTTCTCGGAAAGAGAAAGGTTGAGTTCCTAGGAATAGGTAACCCTCAGAGTCTCCTATATGGCTTGATCATGAAAGGGACCAAGAGGAAAGCTAAGGCAGATGCGTCCCCCGGAGCCTCTCACCCCTAAAATTTAGAAACAAGATATGGACTCCTTCCTTGATTCAAAGGAGAATCAGAGCCCTAAAGTAGACGGGGCTAGCGAGCATTACTCGCCCACAAGGAGAAATTTTTCTTTCTAGTCCTCCATGTGAAATGATTGGGAGAACCACTTGTTGACTTGAAGGAGAACCACTTGTTAAGGGTCCTGTTGATGGAGAGCGTTAATCGAGATAAGCACACCCAAATTGAGCTATGAGCTGAAGAAGAATCTTGTTTACTCCCAATGGACTCTCTCCAAAGGTCAATCGATAATTAAGGCCATATAAAAGGAGAATAAGGCATTCTATGCCAAACTTGAGGAAGTTGATTCAAAGGCTTAGGATCTCGTCGCCTTAGTGAAAAAACTGAAGGAATCCCTCAAATATGGCATCTTCTCAAAAGAGATATTGGAAAAGGAGGTGTCTAATCTTAAGGACGGGCTAGTGGATACTTATGATGTTTCCTTTGAGAGAGCGATTGAACAGGTTCTCTTCCTCGATCCTGGGATGAATATGAGCCCCATGGATCTATTTAAAGTGGTTTGCAATAGCCATATGGTGGATGAAGAGGAGGTTCATTCCTCTATGAAGCCAACCACTTCTTCTAATAATGGTTCCCAACTCGATCCTGAGGGAAACATGTTAGAAGAAACCCCTAAGTAGAAGCGAATCATCAAGAGAATGTCTTTGAGGAATGACAAGTTCCTTAGGAGGGCCATTGAGCGAAGGTCTTACTATTTAATTTTGGTCGTTTGTGGCTTATTTTACTATGCCCAAGGAGATTTTAATGTAATGATGAATATTTCCCTTGAGGGATTCCTTTGTTTTCCCATCCCCTGGGGATTTGATTGAATGGTGGATTTGTATGACATTGTTTAATTTTGGTGTTACTTATCTTAGAACATTTTTTTGAACAAGTTTTGGCCTTGTTGGATAAGGTTTCTAGCATGAGAATGATAACTTTTCCCCTCGGGCAGTGAGGATTCCTACATGAGGATCTAATATATGTGATGGCCTCTATGGGTGATAAGGATTCCTTTATGAGTATCTATCATATGTGATCGCCTCAAAGGGTGGAAAGCATTCCTTCATGAGGATCCAACATGTACAATTGTCTTGAAGGGCGATATAGATTCCTTCATGAGGACCCAACATATATGATCGCTTCTATGGAAGGCTTCGATAAGGTTTTATTTCACTCTTTAATCCCTACAAACAAAGAAATAACAACTCCTAATCTATATGATAACGTAAAGGGCCTCATTAAAAACCACTGCGCCTTATTGCCAACACATGGGAAAAGAGTGCTCCCCACAAATTTAAGAATCTCATAAATTTAACCATACAAACCGTAAAGATGGTATCTCTCCTTAATATGACCGAATAAGTAAATTAAATTGAACTAAACATGGATCAACGCCAAAACAAGATTAATGTTTTTAACAAGTCTCTTCGTTTGTCTCCTTCGTGCTCTCTAGGAGTAGGGTGGCCAGATCTTTATCTTCTAGGGTAACTTCTCGTGGCTTATCCCCTAACTTCAGGTCTACTAGATTTACTCCCATGACCCTAGTCTTGTTTTGTTCCAGGCTCTCCATGTAGTACTTTCTATAAATCTTCTGATCCCCCTGGATAACCCTTACTCGTCCATCCAGAAGTGAATATTTCATGTATAGATACAACATAGATAAAGAGGCTTTAAACTTGTTGAAATTAGACCACCCTATAATTATGTTGTATGAGGAATATGCATCCATAATCAAGTACCTTATCTTGATCTGCACGACCCTCACCTTAACTCCGAACGCGGTCTTCAAGATATATAACCCTTCACATGCACTTGCTCCCATGAGAATCCCATAACTGATCCTTTAATATTTTTGAGGTCTCCCAGGTCTAGGCAAAGCCTTTCAAAAGCTTCCCGATGTAGGATGTCTTTAAAGGTTCCTTGATATATTAGCACCCTCTTAATCACCCAATCTTCACACCTTACAGTTATGACCATTAGGTTGTTATCATGAGGGTGGATCATTTTTCTATAACTTTCATGTTGACCATTTTGGCTAAATCAAATTGGAACTTTGTGAAAATTTACTAAGAAGTTGGGATAAAAATCTGACCGAACTTGTTGAAAAATTTTCTAAGTGTAGAGTAAAGATGTCACAACTTCATGGGCTTATATCTCTCAAATTAAGCACTTTTTGAAGATCATCCCTCAAGGACAAAGTTGTAGAATTCATCAATCCCTATAACTTTCATGTTGAAAGTTTTCCTTGAATCATCTTTCATCTTAGTGCAAAATGGTCATGAAGTAGTGAATTTATTAAGAACAAAAACACTTAGAAATTTTTCTAAGTGTTGGAAAATTTCCCAAATTTTGACTTTTGTTGACTTTTCTTGATTCTTGATGATCGAATTAGATATTTTTGAATATTTTGATGATTCTTGATCTTTGAAGTTCAATGTTGAACAAGAAGTCAAAGTTTGACTTTTTGTGTGCATGTTGACTTTTTATCAATTGATTTAAATTTAAACTATCAATCACTTGATCTTTAGAAATGTTTTGAACCATATAATTAGGTCAATATATTATATTTGAGCCCTTGAGATCATGCCTCGAGACATTAGGTCATGTATTAGGTCAAAAGTCAATGATCAGTCATTCTCAGTCAAAACCTTAATTTTGACAATTTTGCCCCTTTGGTGATCTGAGGGATTTTCTTGAAGAATCATGATCAATCCTTGATAAAATGATGAATATGACTTTAAAATGTTGATGTTGACCAAAAATCTTGAAGTTTGACTATATGTTGACCACAATTGATTTTTTACTCAATATAGTTGATTTTCAGTCATCTGAGCAATTGACTGAGCAAATTTGTGATGCAAGACTTGAAACTTGGTATGGGCATTCTTGGAGACCTATGATGAACCATGAAATCCACTTGAGGCATCATAAGTCCAATTTTCCTTGAGAAAACCAAAACGCTAGTTGTGGACCCTTGCTTATAGGAGGAGGTTTGACCAGTCAACTCTTGAGAACCCTTGAGTATTTGAGAATCCTAGAAGAAGGTATTGAAGAAAATGAGAGGGAAAATTTTAGGGTAAAAAATACTTCAACTAAACATGCTAAAAGTATAATATGTAGCAACCTCTTGCGGTGTAGGGATGTCAGGGTTTTTTAGGGTTGTTGTGTTGTTAGAAGAGCAAGCTCACTTAGAGTTAGTGAGAATCTCTGTATGCATTATTTTTTATAAAGAATCAAATATCCCTCTCAATCTCAAGGTTGAGGTATTTAGAATCTAATATCCCCATTTCTTTGGACAATGTGACTAACTTCATTTTACTTCCTCTCCCATACCATTATTAATTGGAACATGTCACCTCCATATTTTCGTAAAAATATGAGTAATTTAAGAAATAGGCGCCATAACTAAATGACGATCGCTTGTTGGGTGACTGGAAAGCTGGTGTGATGACACACCACCTCCCCTTAGTGGATCTCCACACCGCCTTTTATGGGCCCTTTACAAATAACCAATAAAATTTTATTTATTTTTAAAATGATAAATAAAATAAAATCAATATATTTTCATAATATAGTTTTTTTCTCAATAATTTTTTGGCTTTCTTATTACTTAACTACAATGCTATAGGATTTTGCTTTATTTAATGAAATGGAAAATCCAGTTGACCAACGTCAAGTTGACCAACATCAAGATATGCGCTTGAATATTGATGGCATGTCTTATGAGGTATGTACATAAATATATATTCAAGTTTTATTTTCCTATGAATATAGACACATGTGAAGTATATGTTAGTGAAGTTTAGAGGATATAAAAAATTGAAAATATTTACATCAAGAATCATTGGTTAAAGGAACTTCTTCAATTGGGTGAGAGGATTGGAAGTGTATCCACCGGTTTATCAGATGAAACAATTGCCTTACAACTGAAGACTAAATATTTCTCACCAAGTCCCATTGCTATTAACTTGGAGGAATTACCACCTGAAGATGAAGAAGCAAACTCCTGCATTATATGCCAGGTATCATATTTTAACTAGAATTTTCATTCCACTCAATATTTTTATTAATTTTGTACTTGATATTTCAAAAGCAAAATTTTAGAAACAATTCTTCATTTCATTTACTAATTAATTACAATTATTTATTGGATAGGAGGAGTTTAAGAATCAGGAGAAGATTGGTGTTATCAAATGCGAGCATGAATTTCATGCCGATTGCATAACACAATGGTTACTATTGAAGAATAGTTGCCCAATCTGCAAATTAGAAGCTTTGAATGATGGATAGGAATCCATGAATTATTCATGCATGCATATCCCTTAATATCTCTCCATGCACTTTCTAGATAATTTGATTTTTTTTTTTGTTGACATTATTCATATTTCGCTATGGTACTGTGTACTTTGGGCACTAGAACTTCATATCTATCGACTTGAGTCTATTTTACTATGTTGGATGTATTTACTTTAGTTAACTATATCAGTACTTCTTATTATATATTAGTTTTGTATGCATGAGATGAATTAAAAATATAGTAGTTGTTCTTGTGTTCTATGCAGTTCAAACTTATCTTTACATGGTATTGGATGCATCTTTGTGTTTGAATGCTACAATTTATCATCTTATATTCATGGGATATAACAGGACACCAAAGAGAATATGGCAAGGTGCGAAAAAATCAATAAGCATGATGTAACAAGGAAATGCATAGATATGAGTTAGACTTTCTTGTAAAATTTCACATTTTGGCCGTAATGAGGGAGGCCACAATCAAACAAATAATGAAATTTAAAATTAATGGCAAGGTGGTCTCATAAAAATTCTGCATTGAAGATTTAGTCACGTGAAGGATTTAGTCACGTGAAGGGTCGGTGTATGGAAGAAGGCCTCCATTTTAGGAAATTGAATCCTAATTGGGAGGTAACAAATGATAACATAAGGTAACAACTGATAAAATACACGAAATAAAAACAAGATAGACATAAGATAACAAATAATAATATTAAAAAAAAAAATTGGAGTAGACCACAACCCACAAATTCTCAAAATCATATTATATGATCAGAAAAATACTCCTGAATCTAAAAAATATAGTCAAAGTTAGAATTAATGCAAATAGGGTATAGTTGTCCCGACCTTGAACAACACCTCAGTTAAGATGACCATCAATCACATTCTTATGATTTTTGCAAGTTGTACCCAAATCCACCCCAGAATTCTAGAAGCGTATTTTTCTAAGGAATTCATGAAAGATTACGGCTTGTATCATTCTAGAACAAGGATTGAGAGGAGGAGCGACAATGGTGGAGGATTGCAAGTTCTCATACGACGGAGTGAGGGGTGGGGGAGGATCCACGTCTAGCTCAGGGGATGTAGTTACACCCCCCTCAAATTTTATATTTTAGTTCAATATTTTCATATATTACCGGTTTGCACCCCCCTGTAATTGTATAATTTGCACCCAATCCAAAGCTTTGCTCTCTCTCACGTCAGTCTATTCTATTATTTTCACATGATGTTTTCATAGGTCACCAATTATAATAAAGGAAAATTCTATGGTGAAGTTTCCATTTTGACTTTTTTGAAAAAATCACAATTTTAACCAATCACAAAGGTTCTTAAAAACCCTAGTATGCCACATAGGATTATGTTATACATCCAACTTATTATGTAACTTCACAATTATTAATATTGCAATTAAGTCTTAACATATTTGCAACTAAGTCTCATTTATTATCCATTCAATATAATTAATTTTTAACTTCAAATTTGATATTTTAACAAAATCAAAATTAATTCAACTATTGAAAAAAACTTCATTTATTTCAGTTCATCTTCTTCCCCAACCAACCCTAACGAACACAACTTCATCTTCGACAACTTCATCTTTTGCAACTTCATCTTCTTTACTATCCATATTCATCTCCATCCAAAGCAATCGTAAAACGACCACTAACAAATACACGTTTCATCTTCTTCTTTTACAATCGTGATTTTTCTTCCTTGAAAAGTTGTTTAACGTTATCTCATTCATTCGCACTCCTCACACAGTTTGTATTGATACCTGATTTGCTAAGGTAATTAGGTTTAATATTTAATGATTTCAAATTCTTATATGATTTCAATTTGGGAATTAGATTTTGTGATTAATGTTGTAATCTGAAATTGTATTTCAAATTTAATGTTTATGATTTTACATATGGTAGCTGTCAATTAATTTGGAAAAAAAGTTATCTCAAATTGGGATTTTGGTTATATGATTGATGTCATTATCTGCACTTGGATTTCAAAATAAAGGATAGTCATTATGTTAGTTAGTCAATATGTAGGTTAAGATTGCATTTCAATTTGGGAAATAGGTTTTATCATTGGTGTTGATTATTTTTTGTTATATATCGGCTGATTTCAGATGGAAAATTATGCTGACACTGTTGGGGTTGATTTGAACAATGTTCATAACAGTGATTCATTTGATGCTTGATGTAGTCGTGATGAAGATGTTAATTATGTTGGTACTAGTGGCCATCAAAGTTAAAATGATGAAGATGAATCCGATAATGACGATGGTGAGGAATTGGTTGGACCAGAAGTGACAAATACTGATGTAGTTGTAGGTGATAGAGTAGTGAGTGTAACTTTGATTACTTCTGATGAAATTCATGTTTTGGAATTTGGAACTGTGAGTGAAGCTTATGAATTTTATTATAGGTATGGAAAATGTAAAGGTTTTGCCATTAGGAAAAGTGAGGTTAGGCGGAGAGGGCCCGAAGGTAATGAAATAGTAGTAACAAGGCAGTATGTATGCAACAAACACATATTAAGAGACCAGAAGCGTGCAGATAGGGTAGATAGGAAAAGAGAACACCGACGGACGAAACATACTAGTTATGAAGTTATGCTTTGTGTGCACTATAATAACAAAATTGGAAAATATGTAGTGTCAATTTTTGAAGATGCTTATAACCATGAATTAACCCCAGCAAAGTTTGTGCATCTACACCCCGGTTATCGTAAAATATTTGAGGCAGATAGAGCTTAAATTGGTGGTCTTCAATCACATGGAATCAGAACGTGTCATATAATGGGATACATGGTTGCTCAAAAGGGTGGATATCATGATGTTAGTCTTACAAAGAAATATCTGTACAATTATGCTGATAAAAAAAGCGTGATGTTATTAAAGATGTTGATATTGCCGCTGCTCTAAATTATCTCAATGTGAAATAATTTACGGATCCTTTGTTATTCGCAGAATATTCTATAAATAGTGATGGAAGATTGAAGTCACTTTTTTTGGGCAAACGACACTAGTAGATCCGACTATTTCTGTTTTGGTGATGTTGTTGCGTTTGACACAACTTACCAGAAGAACAAATACAATTATTTGTTGGTTATATTTTCTGGGGGCAACAACCACTCACAGACTGTTATGTTCGGTGTTGCATTGGTGTCGGATGAAACGACAGAGACGTATAAGTGGCTCTTGAAGTGTTTCTTAGAGTGCATGGAAAATAAACATCCAAAAGCAATGGAAACAGATGGAGATGGGGCTATGAGGGAGTCTATAAAACATATTTTTCCTTATGCGACCCATCGGTTGTGTGCTTGGCATTTGAACAAGAATGCAGTTGAAAATGTAAAGAAGACATAGTTTTGGAAGGTTTTAAAAAAGCAATGTAATCTAATTTTACATCTGAGCAATTTGAAGAATTTTGGTTGCAGCTGGTTAAGGAGAATGATTTTGAACAAAATGGTTGGGTTGCCAAAACATATGTGAACAAGTCATTTTGGGAAACAACTTATCTACGCGATAAGTTTTTTTGTCATATAAGAACTACGTCTCAATGTGAAGTTGTTAATGCAATAATCAAGTCTTATGTAAGGAATAAATGGTGCATTTTTGAATTTATGCATAATTTTGATAAGGCGTTGAGAGATTACAGAAATAATGAACTTGTTGCTGATTTTAAATCAAAGTGTTCGGATCCTGTGTTGACAACTCATTTGTGTCTGATTGAGACTGATGCTGCTAAAACTTATACAATAGAGATTTTTAAAGAAGTAAAAGAAGAAATTATGAAGGTTGGTGCATTAATTGTGAACGAGTGATTATTAGAAGGGGAACAACTCTTTTTACATTAATAAAATATTGTGAGTCTGGGTTTGAAAGAGAATTTGTATATGATGCATCGGATAAAACATTGCGGTGTTCGTGTGAATTATTTGATTCATGTGGACTACCTTGTTCACACATTTTTTATGTCATGAAGGAAGAGCATATGGATTACATTCTAGTAGTTTGGCATTGTTGCGTTTGACGAAGAATGCCAAAATTCGGTGTCTGAACATGAACTATAATGGGGAAGCAGATTCAAATTTGATTGAGATGGCTCGTTTTGGGGCATATTGTTCTGTTTTTACAAATTTGTGCAAAGAAGCATAAAATAAGAGTGGTGTTTATGCGGATGTAATGGATGACATAATGAATTTTAAGAGAAAGTATTGTAATTCTAACAAACCTATTGGTGCCCAAAAGTCATTTGTAGGTGATCCAATTGCAGTGAAGACCAAAGGTGCTCCAAAGAGACAAAAGAGTGAAGCAAAACCAACCAGACACTGCAAAAACTACAATAGTACTACTCATGATGCGAGGAATTACTCGGTAATAAATACCTTCTTTATCTTGCATTGGACATTATATTCTAGCTATTTTGATCATTTTTCCAGGACACACGAGACGTGACATCTGATCAGAATATTGTGCTCGAGTCAATGCCGATAATGATTCTTTAAGCATAATTCAAAAGGTATATTCACTTTTGTTAACTGTGTTATGTTTACAATTGTTTTGAAATATTTATTGAATTTGTATATACAAAAAAAAGGAAATTCAGCTGCAATGCTAGCAGTACCAGGCCAAAAAAATGTTCACAAACACCAAAAAGTCAATGTGGTAACGATACAACGACGCCACATATGGATGCTACAAGAAGACATGTGAATAAAATGTATGGACTTCAACCTATGAGGCATGTTAGACAACATGTAATGCATCAAATGCCTGTGGTATAACCCATGTATGGAATGTCGGTTGGGGAACATCCTCCGTGCTCTGGTCTGTTGTAACATGTTATGAAATTTTATGGTCATTAGTGTGGGGTTTTATGACTATCCAATGCTAGTACAACAAATAGTGGTTTTAAATAGACATCGTGATTAATGAATAATTATGGTTGGGATGTACTGCGAATTTTTTGTGGTTAAGTTTGGGAGAAATATTTTAGTTT